GGTGGTAATCGGATGGCGCAAGGTCAGGTGAATAAAGTGGATGGCACAAAGTCTTCCACCCAAGTTGCTGTATGGTATCTCTGACCACTCGCACGACATGCGGCCTGGCGTTGTCATGGAGGAAAAGCACACCTTTGCGATTCACCAGTGCTGGCTCCTTCTGGCGCAATGCCTGTTGCACACGTTTCAATTGCTGCGTGTATAGGTCTCCAGTGACCGTTTGGCCCGTTGGTAGCAGATCATAATGAACCACTTGACGACCTGTCCACCAGATACAAAGCATAATCTTGCGTGGGTGCATAGAGGGTCTTGCAGTGTGAGGGACAGCTTGTGAGTTTCGTACAGAACCCACTTTTCATCACTGGTAAGAACTCGATTAAATAAAGGTGCGGTACGGTGACGAGAAAGCAGCGATACGCAGACTGCTACTCGTTGTCCCTTGTGGACCGCCAACAGCGTTTACGGAACGCACTTGCTCAGTTTGTACGTTTTACCTAGGCGGTGCAGGTGAAGTCTAACTGTTTCATCGGAAACGTTGAACTGTCTTGCAAGTTCGCCACACGTTAGACTACTGTCCTCTTCAATGGTCTCCTTCAGGACTCCGTCATTCAAGACCTGTGGTCGTCCACTGCGAGGCTCATCATGGAGAGACAAATCTCCCGACTTGAATTTTCGAAACCAACGCCTGGCAGTACGTTCATCTACAGCACTATCCCCAAACGCTTTACATATGCGGCGACTTGATGCAGCTGCTGATAAGCCCACTTTGAAGTCGTAAAGCAAACATCCCCGAAGGAGATCTCTAGACACTTCCATCCTTCTTAAAGCTGTCCGGCTTATAACAATATTCAGTCACCCTCCCCACGAGGGTGTCATGTGGCACAAGGCCATTTTAACGTGGGCATTCCCGAGCCATTAGGCTCGGCCACAAAATAGCCCATTTGAACCCGCATAAACGGGTTCAGGGCCGGTTTTACCTCCCCGAAGGAGACTCCGCCCTTCGGCGTAGCCTCCTCCGGGTTCCTTTCGCCCGTAGGAAGAGAGTTTAACCGAACACTCGCTCAGAAAGTGAGCGACCGACTGTCCGGCTTATAACTGATGGCCGGGCACGGTGCGCATGTTTTTTATAACGTCTGATGTCCCTACTTCCGGCTGTCCGAAATTGAAAACAATTGCTACACGCATTTCGTATATATTTCAACTTCATTCAATGACTAATCAAAACACGGACAGAACTTTTTTGGTTACCTTGTATATTGCTGGTAATTTCACAACAAAAATGTATTGTTGGTAATTTTAAAAAAAATATATATTGCTGGAATTTTTGCTGTAAAAAGTTTTGTTTTTCATTTGGAGGTTCGATATTTGCTTAGTCGCAAACATGTGCTATTACCTCGGGTCACCCCGTGTCAGCGTGAACCTGGGAACGACATCAATTAAGAGATGGTTTCACGCTCCTATCAGAGGCTTTGCTGCCGGATGTAGTTTATCGTCATACCGAGGACTGCGCCTGAACTGGTGGAACTAACGAGTAGAACTAATCTGAATACTAACCATGGAAATAGCCTGAAAGTAGCGATAGTCTTGCAACTTTGCGTCCGTGTGAAAGAGATTACGGAATGAAAAATATAACAATACATTTAAAAACCGTGTTAAAATTTGTCATATCTTAAAAGTGGGAATTAAATTGGACCAGCCCAGGGATGGTTGCAATGGTTCTATTTTTGGTCTAAACTGACTCTTGTAACGGTAAAACGTGGTAAAAGGTGTCAGGGGATTCCCGAATCTATAGAATAAACAACTTTAGAGATGGGTCGTATGAATCATTTCCACTTGATGTTAGCTTGAGTCCCAATAGACGTCCAATACATGGATGAGAATGGAGACTTTCGTTGTGGCAGGAGAAAGCTCCGCATCCGATAGATGATGATGATGATGATACTAGCCTCGATTTAGAAGTATCGAAATTTACAAACCAGTCCCAACCCGCATGGAGTTGTTTGAGCTAGATCAGCCGTAAGGCTTTGATCATCTCGATTTTTGGAAGGGCGTCGCTAAACCGTGGTATCCTTTGTAAACAGTATTTTCCGGCTTACAAGACGCACTATTTTTTTCCCTAAAAATAGCCTGAAAAATACGTGTGCGTATTCCAAAAAAGAATGTATGGCAACGCTCAGGCTCAAAGACGAACGGTGACCTAAATGGCTTGACTAATAGAAAGGTCATTACACTATAATGTTAGTTATCTATCTAATTCAGCCTTTTATATGTTGTAACCTCAGTACTTGGCTGTTACAAGTATTTCCATAATAATAAACCTTCCTGGAGCCGAGCCACAAACTTAAATATGCTCTGTTTACTGGCAGCGGCGGGAGCCGTTTTGCGCTTGAACTTGACGGTATAGATTTACTCACACTCTTATGATTATTTACCCGCTGCCCCACGTAGCAAGATGTGGCACAAGGCCGAGTTTAAAGTGGGGGATCACACTCTTATGTCGTGAAAATATCACACGAATTCCTACTGATGCGTTTCCTCTATGGTCACGTGGTCCACTTAATTCAATAATGGGATCGTCTGTGTTTGCTCACTGGCGTTCTATGTTCAATCTCAAGTGTCGGCAGCGACATTGCACCATTTTATTCCTATATAACACCTTTGAAAAAGTTAAAATAAAAAAAAATGCTTTTTAGAAAATGAATATTAAAACAAAGTATTTAAAATAACCTAATCGTAGAACGGTTAAAAGGATTATTTGAAAAAATCATTTATTGAAATGCAAACGCTGTAGCATTACTACTTCCACACACACACACAGACACACGTACATATATATATATATATATATATATATATATATATATATATATGTGTGTGTGTGTGTGTGTGTGTGTGTGTGTGTGTGTGGGTGTGAGAAATGTGAATATATATATATATATATATATATTTTATATATATATATACACACACACACACACATGGAATTTATTATATATATTATTTATATATTATATATGCGCGGTACTTATTGGAAAGTGCTCAATATCAGAGATACAGCTAACATGTTTTGTTGGATTGATGTGAGTTTTTGACCCTGGGTTTCACGCTTTTGCGATCGTTAGACAAACTGATTAATTTTTAAATTTTGGATTTATATGTCTAGATTATTCAAGCAACCATGCTTCAATAAATATATGCTGCATATATATATATATATATATATATATATGTGTGTGTGTGTGTGTGTGTGTGTGTGTGTGTGTGTGTGTGTATTTCATTAAATAATATAGACAAGTTTTGTCTATTTATTTTATATAAATTCTTTTTATATCGTCTGATAAGCTTAATAACATTATCATTAAAAGAATAAAGAAATGCACAATATTGATATATATTTTTTAATCCTATCTAAGCTTTCGGCTTACATAAGCCATTATCAAAGATGACAATTACATTACAATATATTAACCAATACACGGACAAAACATGGAAGATTTTCATGCAACGACAACTCGTGCATACGAGACGCTGGAAGCGAAAATCGCACCATAGCATATTACGTCACACATGACCACTCGAGAGTGAAAACGAGAAATATTAAGCATGGGAAGCCATTGGTATAAACCAATGGCTTCTGTTATAAATTATAGACATTTAAGAATATTTGTAGAGATTTCATAGTTTATTTTGTTCAGGTTAGGTTTCAACTGTTTTATGAATTTTTAGTTTTTGTTTATTGTTTTCATGTTTAAGTATAGTTGTGTTTTCAACGAGAATTTTCCGGAATTGTGTATGCGGCCAGGCATGTGGTTTTAAATGCCTAAATATGTTCTTAAGCTTATCAGGCAATATGAAATGAATTTGCATAAATAAATAAACAAAACTTGTCTATATTTTTTATTGAAACATGCAAAAATTCTGCCTAAATACACACAATTTATTTTATATATATATATATATATATATATATGTGTGTGTGTGTGTGTGTGTGTGTGTGTGTGTGTGTGTGTGTGTGTGTGTAAAAATGAAATCGTTAGAAATTCTGTACAATAAGATTCGGAACACCTAATATATATTTATATTTATTTATATGTAATGTTTATAATATTTTATTTTTACAAAGAAATTAAAATTAAAATTATTTAAATTAAAATTAAATATATTTTAAATTAAAATTAAAATTATTTTATTTATAAGTTGTTTTTCAGAAGAAGAAAAAATGTTTTACTATAAATTATTTTATTTTATTTTTTTACTTTTTTACCGATTTCTTTTAGCTTTAGAAAAAGTGTGTAAATGTTCATATTTCCACGTGTTGACACTTGTGTTTTGAACAAATGAAAAAGTCGAGATGTAACTGGCTTTAAATATAGAAAAAGTCACTGGCTTTATATGTGGTAAGGAAAATACAGTAGACTCTATTTTGAGATACACGCCTGTCGTTTATGCAATGAATTGAGTATTGATTTAAACTTGTTGATCAAATTATGTCTCTTTATTGATAGGCTTTGCTCGGTGGTTTTGTAGTCTTATTGTTAGAATGGGAAGATATTAAAATTTGGCAATTTTCGTCCTCCGCATTCCTCTATATGTTAGCTAAGGGGTATTTTTTTTTTTTTTTTTTTTGGTGTGGGGATCCCTAATTTATTGACGATGAACTGTCATGCTTTACCGGAGTGTCAGTCGGGTTTGGCCAATGTAATGTTTGTGGCACCGTTGCTTGTTATTATGCATATTAAATGCTCTGAGTTGCACAAGAAATTATTTTTAATTTTGAATTTGGATCCGTCTTTGAAGTGAAATTCTGGGCATTTTAATAGTTAGTTGCATACTTCGCAAAGGAATCAGTTGCATACTTAGCAAAGGAATCGGTTGCATACTTCGCAAAGGAATCAGTTGCATACTTCGCAAAGGAATCGGTTGCATACTTCGCAAAGGAATCGGTTGCATACTTCGCAAAGGGGTCGGTTGCATACTTCG